AAGACACAAACGTCACTATTCTGCGCTGAAGCAGGCGGAAACCGAAACTGTAAAATCTCCAGTTGCTCAATGCTGCGTCCATGTTTGGACAACTTCCGTAAACACAGAGACGCTCGCTGCGGTTGACGTCGTCGTGTCTCCAGTGTCACATGTGGGACACTTTCGGGCCGTTTAATGTTCACACTGGAGTCACATACAAGTCACATTTAATTGGAAATGTGAACGACCTCGCAAAAACATCGGATTTCACAAAAAAATCGGAATTGAGCGTTAAGCCCTGCAGTCTGAACGTAGCCACAGAAGCCAAAAAATCGGATTTGGGTCACTTCAGGCTGCAGTCTGAACGCAGCCTAATTTTAGTATCGATTAGAATCTGGATATGAAATTTTTGGACATGCAGAATAATGTACAAAATGAACAAAAACCAAAAAGTTTCCAAAACAACAAAATCACTTTTAAATGAGAGGAAACGAACTAAATATGACAGTTCCTTTTATCAACCCGACAGACAAGATACAGACAAGATGCAAACAAACACCGAGCAAACGCCGCTACGAGCCCTTTAAGGTCAGGGTGCACATGATCCCACTTTAACCTAGTCACATTTTAGCGTCTTATTCGGAGCATTAAAACCATATGCATTATTTTAGAACTCCGTAAGATTGTAAGAAAAAAAAAAAAAGTTAAATAAAGGCTTTTAGATGCACTGCAAATGATGGAGGTACATGGGACAAGCACAGGCAAAAAACATGCTCTGATGTGGGCATGATGCAAGGTGGAGGTTAAAGGTATTATTTTTGTAGTATCACTTTGGGCCAGAGGGGGGCGCCAGGACAAACTTACCCTAAACTTTTCCACCTCTTCTTCCTGTAAGCGAGAGGCGTGAAGATTGAAGCGTGACTCAAAGGTTCAAAGGGTCAAAGGTGAAAGAAAAGGAGGGGAGTGATAGTGACGGGACATAAAGATGGAACACGACTCTAGAGTGGACACGGCGTTGTGCTGCAGCGGCATCTGCAGACGCCATCTTTGGACTGTATGATGAATACATTAAATAACGACTAAAGTTCAAAGGAATCCGTGTATCATTCGTTCATTCATTTTTCAATATAAAACCAAAAATAAGAAAAACGAAAAAACAACAGTTTTTGTGATGAGGAAAATTCATTCGTTATTTGTCTCCAAAACCAAAATGAAAAAAACGGATAACGATTCGTTTTTTCAGTTTTCGATTTTGTGTTTAAATGAAGAATGGAAAAATACGGCCGTTTCCCGTTTACGTGACTTCTGTGACTGTGATGCCGAACTTTTGCACCGCATACGGACTGAACAGGACTGATCCAGGTCCGAGACCAGACCGAGACCAGAGCGGGACTGAGACCGGGACCAGAGCGGGACTGGCAGGGTGGACTCCGAGCTTTGACTCTGAGCCTCCACGGGGGGATCCTCAGCTCAGCTTCGAGCTCTCCGTGCCGTGAGCTCTTGAGATCCGGTCTGGTCCCGCTCTGGTCTCGGTCTTGTCTCTGGTCTCAGAAATCAGCGTTTCCCGGTCTGTCCGCCTCCGAACCAAAAGCTGTTCGGCTGTTTTCGTTGGTGCAAAGCCTCAGTTGACGCTTTCACCACCTCGGAACCAGCCACGGGACAGCCCGTCAGACCTCCACAGCGCTTCTCAGTTCCCCCGCACGGTCCGCCAGAGACAGACGGAACCGCTCTGGTCCTCTGGTCTCGGTCTCAGTCCCGCTCTGGTCTCGGACCTGGATCAGTCCTGGTTCAGTCCGTACGCGGTGCAAAAGTCCAGCATCACAGTCACAGAAGTCACGTAAACGGGAAACGGCCGTTATCCGTTTTTTCCATTCTTCATTTAAACACAAAATCGAAAACTGAAAAAACGAATCGTTATCCGTTTTTTCATTTTGGTTTTGGAGACAAATAACGAAGAAAACTGTTGTTTTTTCGTTTTCTTATTTTTGGTTTTATATTGAAAAATGAATGAACGAATGATACACGGATTAAAATGGTGTAATATGGGCCCTTTAAATACAGGGTGTCCCAAAAAAAACTAACATCATTTCGCAGGATATTTTGGATAATTTTGGCAATTCGTGTTGAAATAACCTCACATTTTCATAGAATGTATAGAAACAGATCAAGATTTTATATGTAATGTTTTATTTTTGTTCTGTTTTCAGGAGAAGTCATTTTGTGTTTTGGAATCTGCTCGCACACACTCACCCAAGACTCTGCAGAGTGTCTTCAATAAAAAATTTGGAAAAACTTCACCAACTGGCAAACAAAGTAAACTTATGATGTTCAGCACCTAAACTGTTTAAATCTATTGAGCTCGATTTAGTAGTTTTCAAGATAATTGCTTTTAAAATTATGTCTATTATGATCATTCTGGAAGTATAAAGGAGCAATTGTATCACCACCGAAGATGCTCATGCTGTCTTCTTATGTACTTTAACGTCTTGGGTTCTTTTTCGTCACCGGTGCTGGTGGTGACGTGTCGTACATCGGCTGTTGTTACTTCCTGTAGGCGTGTGGGGGGGCGAGGGGAGGCGTGGTCAGTCTGAGCAACCACACCTACAGGAAGTAACACCAACTGATGTACGACACGTCACCACCGACACCAGGAACAGTTCTGAAGATGCCGCAGCAGCTGAAACATGTCAACGAGGTAAATACACTTTACTGTATTTATTGTCTTTAAAAATAAGAACCCAAGAAGTTAAATTGCATCACCAATTTGTATGAAACACCGATGTATATTGTGGTCCAATTTTGGTTTATTGGGGAAGAAAATATCTGATTATTAAACTACTACTAATAATGATAATAAAAGAAAGAAAGAAAGAAAATAAGACGTTATTATTCGGGTCAGTATACCCATCTTTAGACTGGATAGTGAAATAAAATAAAAGGAACGTAACTAAACTGCAACCCCTCCTTTGCGTCTGTAGAACTTTCTACAGTACAAACATGGCCACTTCAGGACCACTGTTGTGTCCACTCTAGAGCTTCCTTCCATCTCCGTGGTGACAGGACTGTGTAGAGGTCATCAAACAAACAGGACATGACTGAGATGAAGCACACACGGATCTCCCCATATCACCAGCAGAGGGCGCTCTTGTGCATCCAAACAAACACCGAATATTACGTCTCTAGAGCATTCAGAGCAGAAATGAATCACTGGCAAATGACCGACCGACCGACCGCCCGTTTCCATAGAGATGCCAGCGCTTTGCCTGAAATATTCCACCGTAAAGCATCGGATTATTGTCCTTGCAATTACTGTCATTGTCTCCATGGAAATAGATAAAACGAATACTGTACTGTGGAACATTCCAGGCTGCCTCCACTTGAAAAGTAACTAGACACAAAATGCTTTTTCTACTTAAAATGTGGAATACAGAAATGTTACAATGCTTATTTTTGTTTTAGTGTTACTCAAACATTCTGATTGACATTGTATTGTTTTTTATATGATGTGTAATATTATTGCTTTGGCCACAGATACAATTTTAATGACATTTTGTTGACAGCAGGGGGCAGTCATGCACCGCAGTGATGCAGTGCAGCGAGCAGTGCCACTGGTTATGTCACACAGGCAGCGTTGGGGAGTAACAGATTACATGTACTGGAGTTATGTAATCAGAGTAACTGTATTCAGTTACAGTTACTGTTTCAGTGAGTGGTAATTGGATTACAGTTACTTTGTTGAAATAAATGGATTACACAGAGGGATTTTACTGTTTTCACATTTTTGGCTATTTTTTTTTTTTTCATTCACTAGACCTAAACCAGGTCTAAAACCAGGACTAAACCAGAACTAAACCAGGTCTAAAACCAGGACTAAACCAGGACTAAACCAGAACTAAACCAGGACTAAACCAGGTCTAAAACCAGGACTAAACCAGAACTAAACCAGGTCCAGGTCTAAAACCAGGACTAAACCAGAACTAAACCAGGACTAAACCAGGTCTAAAACCAGGACTAAACCAGAACTAAACCAGGACTAAACCAGAACTAAACCAGAACTAAACCAGGACTAAAACCAGGTCTAAACCAGGACTAAACCAGGACTAAACCAGAACTAAACCAGGTCTAAAACCAGGAATAAACCAGAACTAAACCAGGTTTAAACAAGGACTAAACCAGGACTAAACCAGATCTAAACCAGGACTAAAACCAGAAATAAACCAGAACTAAACCAGGACTAAACTAGGTCTAAACCAGGACTAAACCAGGATTAAACCAGGACTAAACCAGAACTAAAACCAGGACTAAACCAGGACTAAAATCAGGACTAAAACAGGATTTAACAGGATTTAACTGGACTAAATCCTGCTGTGTGGACTGTGTCTCCTCCTCTTCTATCAATAATATTTTTAATTTATCTCAGTAAAGTCTGGGCTTTTCATTTTCTTTTAGCAAACAAAACATCTTATCTGAAGATTTCCTCGTCTTTGCTTCTCTGCAGCAAACCAAGTAATCCAAAGTATTCAGATTACATTACTCACTTTAAGTAAATTAATGGATTACCGTTACAAACTACATTTTGGGGTATGTAATCTGTAATCTGTAGGGGATTACATTTGAAAAGTCACCTTCCCAACACTGCGTACAGGCCTAAAAATGTCAATCATCATATTGTTGCACAGGGATTTTATATTTTATTTTGATTTGTACATATACATTTATATAAATCCATCTTATTGTCCAGTCTCTTGTTCTTTTTTGCTGCTTATTTAGAATTTATCATTACCATTTATATTTTTTACTCTGTTATGATATTATTTTGTGGTTTGTGAGCAACTGTGTCCAAATCATTTCCCTTGTGGATCAATAAAGTTTGTCTAAGTCTAAGTCTAAAAGACGGCAGTATCCCTCTACAGATCTATAAACCACGTAAGGCTTATCCGACTGCCGCCGTTTCTAAAATGCAGACACGAATCCTTTTCTACAGAAGTCAAAGAGAAAGTCAGAACATTCTAGAGCCCTACCTCTGTCTGAACATGAGAGCCGGGTCCATGTTGGCCGAGGTCATCCGAACGACGTGGCGGATTTCTTTGGCGATCATTCGGAGTTTCTCAAAGTTCACCAGACCGTCTACGCTCGAGTCGTTACCTGCGACGGAGGAAACAGATTTCATAATTACAGTTTATTCGACTCGGGGACGGATTCAACAAGGCGTAACAGCAGGTTTGACCGTTTGGCGGGACAAACTATTGTTTAGGTCTGATAGAATAGCCTTTAATTATTTCTTAAGTAGGGGTCTTACACTTGCTCCCAGCACCAAGTCACTCTCCCTTCACCCTCCCCGCTGCTAAACATAAAGAGGGTTTGAAAAGGGCACGAGAGAGAACGCTAAATTACTCAAACATGCATGAATGTCAAAATGAGTGCGTTTACATGCACATCAATAACCCGGTTATGATCGGGTTTTTTGAGTATCCCGGTTTCTTGATGGTGCATGTAAACGCAGTAACCCGGTTTCAGTTTCCCGGTTATTAGAAACCGGGATAATGTAGCTGGTTTATTCTGATAGTAACCAGGATACTTGTGGCATGTAAACGCAGTATCCCGGTTACTGCAACATAAAGTTGAGTCGCATGCGTCCAAAAGACACTTTCCAGCCTTTCACCACAACAGTAGTGACATAAATAAAGTGACCAACATAAATAAAGTGACCAAACGAGTGAAATGACTGTAAAATTAAGAGCTGCGCTAAACCTGCACATGTACAATCTGCACTCGTGTGACGCTGAAAAGCTAAAACATGAACTATCTCCTGTACAACACATGCACAGAACAGACTCACCATCATTAGCGCCTCTTCTGTCACAGAAATAACACACATAATCCACTGAGTCCTGTCATTTAGAAGCTGGTCGCATCAGCGGTGCAAGGAGCGAGTTGTTTTTATCGCCGCTAACAGTTTATGCTAATTAGCCAAACGGTCTTAAGTTTCGTTTCTGTAAAACGTAAACAAATGTGATCAGAGCTGAATGATCTGATCAAACGGGCTGATGTGTCTATAGTGTTTATGGTTTATATGTTGTAAAGTTGAGTTTATTTATGCAGAAGATTTTAACGAAGAATCTGCACAGTGGATTGTGGGAGATCTCGTAGCTCCTTAGCTTCTTATGCTAAAGGAGTTAACGGTTTGTATTTTTCCTGGTTTATGAAATTGATTTAAGTCAATTTTTGCGCCTGCGCATTTGAAAGATTATGTCAAGAAACCGGGATACTCCATTTGATCATGTACACGCTGATATGAGTGTCCCTGTTTCTCAGTGCTCATGTAAACGCAGTAACTCGAATACTGACATAACAGGGATATGGCTAATAACGGGGATACTGATGTGCATGTAAACACACTCAGTGTCACATGTCAAATTTACTCTTTAATCTGAAAATCATTCCAAGTTTCTCCTGCTTGTGTTCAGTGATCCCTGTACCTGATCGGGAAACGCTGCCCTAGGTAATACACACACGTCAGTCCCCGTTAGAACACTTCCTCGCTGGGTTTGGTACCTTCGTGCAGAAAGGTGAGGTCCTTCTTGACCACGGGGAACAGCGGGATGATGGGCGGCTGCATGCTCTGGCTGCTCAGGATGTTCCGATACTTGGCCATGTTTCGAGACGGGTCAAACACGTCCTGCAGGTCGCTGAAGAGCTTCTCATATTTACTGGGCAACTTCTCCCAAGTGCTCCTGAGGCGAGCCACCGGAGCCAGGTTCAGACCGCTGCACACAGACGGACAACACACAGGGTCAGCATGTAAACTCACATCATTAAAGGGCTTGTATTTTCTGATCTGTGTTCTAATGTAGTTTCCTCATCAACATAACACACAAACCCTACAGATTTCATTCTTCTCTCAAATAGAAAACGCATTTATTACAGTACAAGTGTTTCTATCGCTAAAAAGTAACTTGAAGAACATACATTTTGAGTGTGAGCAGAGTCGCCTGAGTCGATGGACTATTAATTTGTGTTTTTAATAACCAAGATTTTGACAAATTGCAAAACTGTAAAATTGAGGATTATTACGAAACAGGTCTACCGTATTTTCCGTACTATAAAGTGCACTTATAATCCTTTAATTTTCTCAAAAATCGACAGTGCGCCTTATGTATTAATTCTGGTTATGCTTACTGACATCGAACTGAGTTTATGTGGTGCACGACGCTCAAAAATCTGTCAAAATGTTCTAGTACGTTTTTGTTAAATTACGAAGCCGCACCTCTTGATGGACTGTCCGAGTATTACAGCTACTGTAGTCAGGAGCCTCGCGGAGTAAAGTCTAATCTACAGTCTTTAGAAGCTGACCACATCAGCGGCACAAGGAGCGAGCTGTTTTTTCAGCGCTTATAGTTTATGCAAATGAGGCATGTGGTTTTAAGTTTTGTGTAAAAAAATGTAAACAAATGTGCACAAAGCTGCTTTAAACACATTATTACTCAACGTATATTTGAGTCATAGGAAATTTTTAAAAATAATAATTTAAATTATCCACATTCACCAAGACAGGGAGGCAAGTTACGCCAAGATCTGCCAATGGATCGTGGACGCCTGGACTAAGGATCAGACTCAAGTGTCTTCTGTTTGTTTCACTTAATGCTCCTTATAATCCGGTGCACCTTATGTATGAAAATAGACAAGAGAATTCAACATTATTGATATTACGCCTCATAATCCGGTCTGCCTTATAGTAAAATACAGTACTCCTGACTTTGCTGCTCGCAAAGCAAAGGTTTTGTGCGATAAAAAAATTGGCATTGTGAAAAATCCCATTCTAATTTAAATGCAATCGAGGACAGTTTATGTTCTTTAAAAATAGGATGTGGAGCTGTTTGAACAACAACTTTGATTAAAATCTTAATTGTCCAGTGAGTGCAAAAACAAAACCAAAAAAAAGAGATTTTGTTTTTTGGCCATCTCGCCCAGCCCTACCCTCATGGATGTTTAATGCCATACTAGGGAACATTCCAGTCAGAACAACCCTCCACACAAAGATTACATAACGCACCTTTAAACTTATAGTGTGATTCTTGATTGAAAACATCACAGTATAGTCGGTATATTTTCACAGAGCTCATGCATCTGCATTAGAACGCTGCAGTGACACTGGCTGATGCGTCTCACGCTGCCATCGTCCATTAAGCGCTGGCTCAACTATGAACAGGAACCTCCAGACAAACCGTCCAATCACACGAGGCTCATTTAGACGTGCGCTAATTCAAACTGGCACCGGCACCACATTTCTCCTCTCTCATTATCTGCACTGTTAATGAAGGACTTTTCTACCAAACTCTGACATTTTCTCGTGCTCAGAGCTGTTTCATTCCAAGTGCAATTACTGCTCTCTTTGTTTACAAGCTCCAAATGTTTGCGTTTGACCTGGAGACAAATTTTTTGAATAATTACAGGTAAGAACAAGGCCATGGGCGGGGCTAGGTGAAAACTTTCTGACCTTTTGTATAATACAGGCGAGATTCATTGTTGACAAAAGCGCACGTTGCATGCATGGATCTATTAAAATAACACAGTGTTGCTGCTTGTAGCTGCCTCCAGTTGACGTAGTGTCACTCACTGGAACTTCAGCAGAAAAATCCCATGGGCCAAGACAAGATTTTTTTCATAGAGGCAGTGTAATCACAAACTGCTCGTGTTCGTCTGACAGGTCACCTACAGCTTTCAAAAATATCAGATTTGTTGGCAATTTTTACCTATTTTTAGAACATAAACTTTTTCTCGCTCAAAATCCTTCAGTTTTCTTAAAAAAACACTTTATATTTGTTAGCTCCGGCTCCGCTCTAGCTCCTCTCGCTCTGACTGGTCAAAGTGATCACGTGATACACGAGCCCGCGCTCCGTGCATGTGGTCGCATGCATTCGCGTGTGCCCGCAGGAGAAAAGAGCGCTACTGCACATGCTCGGTCGGCCCACGGCCACCGGACGTACCTCGCCATGCTAGGCTAATCTGGGATCATGCGCCATTGAGCTCAGCCCATTGACTTGAATGGGCGGCCATTTTGGAACCTGGGGGCTTGGTTGCATGCTGGGAATTATTTTGGTCAGCGGCAAGAAACACTAATTCAACATGATGGACGGAGCGAGAAAACACGTAAAGGGTCTTGATCCCGGTTATTTATCCACTCTAACGGCAGAGGACCCAAGACCATTTGACCAGAAATTGGTCATAAGCATCGACGGACGACAAATCACCCTTTTCAACCCCGACAAAAGGTGGACCAAACCAAATTTCTGATCGGAATCTCCAACTACCTGGACAAATATTCACTTGGGCGATATCCACAATGACTTGGTGGAAACTCCTGGGCCATTCACAGCAGAAAAGATGAAAACCTCCAAGAGTCTCGATGTGTTGTTGAACTTGTTGGAGTCCACGGTTTGTTAGGATCTTCTACGTTTGCTCTGCGAATGTTTGAAAGTCGTTTAATTCACCGTTAGTGGTTCTTTTCACTCGGAATACGAAAAAGACATTTTCCTTCTTCCGTGCTTCTATTTGTGCGTCCGATAATGCAGCAGGAATTTACCATTATCGGGGATAAATACGCGAGGTTACGCACTGTGTTTGACGCTACCGTGTTTCTTGCCTCCGACCAAAATATTTCCCAGCATGCAACGCGGGCTTTTAATAACAATGACGTCAGCTGAAACTCGCCAATAGGATCTTCAGTTTTGTTTTTCATGTATCAAGTAAAAATCAGGTACAGTGGATTTAGTAGTAATAGTAGTAGTAGCAGTAGTTTGGTGTGTTTTATCCAGTCCCCACCACATAGTCCCGTACCTGATGATGGCGAACATGGAGTTGAAGTTCTTGCACTCGCGGCAGTGCAGAGCGATCTTGATGAAGTGCTTTATGGTTTTCATTCGTTTTAAGGCGTTGGGTTCCTTCAGGATTTCGGAGGCGACCCAAAACGTCTCCTGGTTTATCACCTCCTCAAACTGCTTCAGGTTCCCGCTGCCCGAAGACGAGTCCAGCTTGAACAGGTCATCCACGTATCTGAGAAAACAAGAGACCGCAATCAGGGCGAGCAAAGGAAACGGACACGGTTGATGCTTTGATCGTCATTTCTTGGAGGTGTGAAGCTAACTGTAGGCTCTGCTCTGTCTGTGACTCAAGTTAGACTTTTTGATGAGGTACAACATTCTAACAAGGCCTACAAGTGCATTATGTAACTTTCTGGTTGGGGGCCGTCACCTGCTTGTTTCTACAGATATTAGGAATGTAACGATATAATACTGAATTATTCAATACTGGTGTGACAATTCGATACACGTGTTCAGTCGATGTGCACGTGTCCCTCCATGCCCGCTGTCCTCTCATTTTATTTCAGTCCGAAAGAGAAACAGTTACTGCACCATCCACCTCAGATGCAGCAGAAAACAGCTCCATAGAGACTTGCAGCTGAAATATTTTAACAGACGAGGGTTTTATCTTTTTTTTTTACGCTGGTAGACCCAGGAATGACAAAGATATTCACTTTTAAATACTTTAGAATCGTTTTTTGGGTTTAGATATGCTCATATATGTACATGAAACGTGACTCGTGATATATTGATATATTGTTTCATTAATATCATAGGGTTATTATATTATACTCACTAGCAGAAAAATTACATGAGATTGTTTTTTTTTTTTTTTTTTCCACATCGGTATTGAGATACGTATCATATCGGTGGAAAACTTCATCCCTAATGGATATGTTATGTCATTGGTTTGCCTGGATTGTTCCAAATTACAACTTTAAACAACTGTCCCTTATTTTTATTAAATTATAGGTAGTTTTATAGCTCAAAAATTCATACTGAAACAGACATTCTGACTGTGAGTGGTGTCATCTCTCCACAGATATGACCTGTAACTTGGTCTGGTTTGGTCTCCATGAAGATAGAAAGGTTTAATACCATCTGTCTTGGGAAAGTTCATTTTCTAGATGAACTAGTTCAAAGTTCAGTTCACAAATTTCAAAATGAACTTGTTCGTTCATAGCTCATAACTGTTTATAGTTAATAGTTTGGTCATAGTTCCAAAGAAATGAACTAGTTCATCGTTTTTTGTTGGTGTTTTTTCAGTACATTGCTGCGAGCGATTATTTTTCAATATCATTGACAATTCATGAATTCATTGGTTCTTAAACTATCGTTCGATGAATGCGTTCAGGTACAACACTACATACTATACTGTGGAGCATTCCAGACAAAGCTGTAAGATCACCATGGAGAAAAGCATTTGAAAGACCCTCCACCAGAAAAGTAACACAATGCACCCTTAAAGCTCACAAGAGAACATTTAGCATAATATAGGACCTTTAATTGCCTGGTTGATGTGTTTAATGCATTTACTTAATCAATACCAGAATTCTCTGACTAGAAACCAGCTCTCCTTAAACCTCACAGTTACAGAAAGTAAGAGAGTATGAGAGAAGATGTCTTACTCTGTGGACTCGATGTTCCTGAACAGCTCGAAGTCCCTCATGGAGAGCTGAGCCGCCACCTCCATCGTACTGAGCTGCAGCAGCGAGATCTGGCTCTCCCTCAGCAGGTCCTGAGCATCGTCGTCAGAGCACAACGTCTCAGTCTCCATGTTGTTCTTCAGGTAGTATCTAAAACACACCATGAGGCATGATGCAGTAAGCAAACAGGTAAACCATCAAGTCGATTAACCGGTCATCTTAGTCAACCAACATCTGTAGGAGCTCTTAAGTTGAAAACTACCACTTCATGACATCACAAGTGCAACAGATGATTTTTCAGCTTTGGAGATGTAGACGTATGAGTCAGTCCGTATGAAATCAGTCGCCCTCCCCTATGAGCCATCTCAGATTTGGCTGAAAATTTCCCAAAAATTTCTAAAGTTACCAAATGAAAGAATCTCAAATTTTAGCTCAATCCCTTGAGTCGTTCCTGAGTTGTGAAACCATTGAAATTTTGGGTCCATGCTCACTTTTTCAGAGGCCTTAATTTATAAGAATGTTTGAGAGACGGTAACTTCATAAAAAATAGAGCTAGAAAGCTGAATTATTGTAGATTATTGGTCATAGATTCTAAATCTGTTGTCAAATATTGGGTATCTTTATTAGATGAGGCACTGTGGGCCCCCAAAATCTCACATTTGGTTGCCGTTCAAGTTTTTTTTTTTCAATTTTTGAGGTCCAAGATCTATTTCCTCCAAGCAGATATTTACAAACTAACTGTTGAACCTGAATATTTGAGAGAATGACCATTTCTGACACAATCTCACACTTTTCTGAGCTTTCATGTGGACGGTGTAGAGCCCCAAATATGATCACAGACCAAATGCGATTTTTTTGGCCCTTTCTTTGGCCCCTCAGTTCCCCATGTGGCACTGTTAGATGTTGATAAAATTATTACCAGAGAAACTTTGACATATTCTGATGAGTTTAAAGTAATAAAAACATCTACTATTAACTTCCTTCATTTCAAAAGGAATTGAGCTCTCACGGGTCATGGAACAACTGTACATAAAACCTAAAATTGTGCACCACTTTCTTTCACTTCATAAAGAAGTTTAAATGTTTAACTCTGGACAGATACATGAAATATGAGACTTAGTTTGTGCTGTAGAACTTTGTTGTTCTGTTACTGATTAGCTTGTTTCTCCCTGCTGTATTTATGAAGATGAACTGGTGTCAAGATGAAGCTCTGACAAAGGAATAAAGGGTAAAGGCAGAATAAGTTTAAGCTTCAGCCTGCACCTTTTCGGTCTGTATATGTTAAATATGACTGTTTATGAATTAAAGTCAAAATATACCTGTGACCGAAATAAATAAATAAATAAAATAAATAAATAAAATACATTTTTGGTGGAGCTCTCTCAAACATTCTTATAAATTAAGGCTTCCAAAAAAAAGTGTGCATGGCCCCAAAATTTCAATGGGCCATAACTCAGGAACGACTCAAGGGATTGAGCAAAAATGTGAGATTCTTTCATTTGGGGATTTTAGAAATGTTTTGACATTTTTTCAGCCAGATCTGAGATGGCCCATAGGTGAGAAAATGACTGGTTTCATATGGACTGTGAACGAAATAACTCTAGGTACGTTTTTGAGGAGGAAAACATTATACTGTGGCTTAAAGATCACAAGAGTCAGTTTTGTATAATATAGAACTTTTAAACTCATGATTCACAAGTGTATTTTTTCTTTATATAAATGCAGTTTCCTTTTCTGCATAACCGCATGAGCTCCCCCTGCAGGTGTAGTCTTGTGAGTGTAATGTGGATCAGATACACACAGACACAGAACAGTTTTGAGAGATTTAGCCACAGCCACTCGATCGTCTTTAGACCGAGAATTTCATTAGACGACTACACCCCTACAGCGCCGTTTGTTCCAACAGATTCTGCTTTAATACATGTATTGGTGCAGAGACTTAACAGCACTTTGAGGAGAGGCTCTTTTTACTTGTGGGAGGAAAAAGTCAAAAACAGCATATGTTCAGAAAAGCGCCCGCGAGAGTGTATGCGGCGCGTGTGGTCGTGCTGACACTGCATCATGTTTATGGAGAGGAACACATCGACTATTCCTGGTCAGTCCCTAAGATGGATGCCTCTGAAATCTGCTTAAGATAGTGATAAATGAGGAGAAGGAAAAGTATAGGGATACAGAGTTTAGAGGAGAAAAGAGCTATATTATAAGAAATACACTTTAGGAAGTTACAGTGATGTTCCGAAGTTACATCCCTCTCATAATCATACTATACTAAAGAATAACAATTGGTTCATACTGTGTTAAAGGTTGTATAGAGGATTTTTTTAAGGGAAGAGAAATACAGCGACAGTCCTTGTGCGCGTTCAGAATTACTGTTGAAGTTTCCTGTCTAGAAGTAATTCAGCGACCGACGCGTCAGTTTTTAGACCCTTCGTCTGCTTCGGTCGCGCCATCGCTGGACGAGATCTCCAAGAATCACCTCAGTTTGGCTTCGCTCCTTTTCCTCTTCTCTTCTTCTTTCAGCGACCTCAAAAACGGACTTTCTTTTGCGGCGAACCGGTCGTGGATTCTCGTCCGCCGTCGCGACAAACTTTGTGCGAAATGCGAGGAAGCGACAGTTCGAAAAAGCCTCTAAGAACCGCTGCGTAAACCACGTAATCCCCGCGCTCCGACGAATCAGTTACACTAGGGAGTTTGATTGACAACCCTAACAGCCAATAGAAAATGAGGGGAGCCTCGTTTTCTATTGGCTGATGTTTATCTGGCCTCAACTACGTCCACAGTTGATAGATTTTTCGTTCTTTTTTTTTTTTTTTTGGTCATCATAATTACAAAGCTTGCTGCGTCTCTGTAATGGTATTTTAATCTTTCACTGACAGTTTGAAACTAAAAAAAAATCCTCCATACAACCTTTAAGTTAGGTTTGGTAAAGCTGTTTTCGTGTCTTTATGGAGAATTGTTTTGTAGGAGCATATTGGAATAAAATTGAAATTATATTGCAGATTTACATGCAGATTTTGAACAAGGCGACCCCAAAAAAATATCTTGTGACCCCCCTGCGTGACCCAGTCTTGGGGAACCAGTGCTCTAGAACATTTATAAGATGCTGAAACCCAATATCATCGAAGACTGAAAGTGGCTCCTCATCCAGCACAGTGTAGTGGGTAAGTACCTCAGTTATTTTTGTTGCCCGAGTGCTATTTTTGGACATTTCATCTCGCTTCTTGAAGACTTTGGTTAAAGTTGATCGTTGACGGCTCGTGCTGCTTTGGTGAACTCGGCGTACTCATCACTGTGGCGTCTTCAAATGTTTGAGTAAATCGCTCGTATTAAATGAGGTGTTTTCCCTTCCACCTCTCGACACATTGGCGCTACATCATTTGCAAAATCCGCCTCACTCCCGTCGTCCTCTCTAATACTGAAATATTTCCAAACCGCTGACGACGACATGATTGAGCGTTTGCGCCGTGTCTCCTGACTCTTTGTCTCCGCCTAGACGCTGAAGTTTGGTAGAACAACAAATGTCCTCCTGAACGTGACCAGTAAAAGGAAAGGAAGGAAGGAAAAGGAGCGAAGACAAACTGAGGTGATTCTTGGAGATCTCTTCCAGCGATGGCGCGACTGAAGCGGACGAAGGGTCTAAACACTGACGCGTTGGTTGTTAAAATATTTCTAGGCAGGTCACTTCAACAGTAATTCTGAACGCGCACTGGATGTAAACGAGCGGGATTTTTTGAGTAAAGAGGCGGGAGGAGGTGATTCTACTGAGGAAGGTGGTGTCACGCATGCACAACATTTGAAAAAGGACTGTCGCCGTATTTCACTTCTTTAAAAATCCTCTATGCAACCTTTATGCCGGGCGTACACTGTGCGATATTTTCGGTCGTGTGACTCAGCCCCAGCTTAAACTGTACAACCAAATCACAGGGTTTAACAGTTCACAGCTCACGAATCATGTTCTCACACTGAACGAACCGATGCTCGGATGCGACTTGCCTGCTCACACTGTACGTTCACATGACGACCGGAGTTTTCAAAGTTGTTGTTCCGGAAGTAGAAAACCACGAAGAAGAAAACCACGGAAGTAGAAAACCACAGATGTGCGGAGACACAATGCTGAGCCACTTCTGTGTCCGCGCATGCGCAGTCTGCCAGATTCTGACAAATCGGCTCCTGGAACAACTTCAACAGAGCGAAATCCTCACGAGAGGCGACTGGATTTCAAACAAGTTTGATTTTCTTGCGACCTACGAATGTCGATCGGGAGCTGGTCGTGAGTCATTAATCGGTTTTCTTTACCCCATGTAAACTACACGAAGCACGACACACGATGAAGCCAAAACTCGGCCCGATCCCCAAAACAGTCGCACGAGCGAAAAATCGGCTCAAAAAGGGTCAAAAATCGCACAGTGTACAAGTGTACGCCCGGCCTTAAGGAGTGACCGTTCAGATCAGAGAGAGACAGTTTAGGTTTAAACGCACTGGATTTCGGCGTCGCATTCTCTCATTTGGGTTGGCAGATATTCCCGCTCATCCCAAAAGGACGCTCTGTGATACGTCCTCGGTGTGTGAGATAACGCAGTCACATGTCGAGGGTGATAATGTCGTTTTCGAGCAGCAGGAGCAGAGCGAGTGGGTGTGAGTATATTGTGTTCTGTGGAGGCATGTGACTGGGCATGAATTATTCCAGCGGTGCCCGGCTGTCTCTGTGGCCCACGCCCCGACAGGATGAAAAATGCATGAACGCGAGTGCGAGGGACACGGGACCACGGGAGAACGCTGCAGACGCACTTTCCCTGCCAGAGCCGCGGCCCAATTAGCCTTTAAAGGCCCCGGATCGGATTTGTCGTTGTGTATCTGAACAAAACGTGTCTGCCCCAGGACGCAGACACGCACCAGCAGCTCTTGAGGTCAAAATAAATCTGCTGCCGTTAAAGAAAGCGTTTTATTGTCTGATAATCAGGAAGTACACTTAGCATGCTGGTTGTCATTAGCTTTAGTGTCACTGAAACTCTTCCGTGCCTTTCTATCAAAAAGTACTGTCTAGTCCTTGTCTAGTCTTGTTCTTGTCCGGTCTTGTCCTGGTCTAGTCCTGGTCTTGATCTGGTCTTGTCCTGGCCTAGTTCTGGTCCTAGTTCTGGTCTAGTTCTGGTCTGGTCTAGTCCTGGTTTAGTCCTGTCTTGTCCTGTCTAGTCCTGGTCTAGTCCTGGTGGTCTAGTCCTGGTCTAGTCCTGGTTTGTAGTCCTGGTTTTAGTCCTGGTTTAGTCCTGGTCTAGTCCTAGTCTGGTCTAGTCCTGGTCTAGTCCTGGTTTTAGTCCTGAGTCTGGTTTAGTCCTGGTCTAGTTCCTGGTTTAGTCTGGTCTAGTCTGGTTGGTCTAGTCCTAGTTTAGTCCTGGTCTAGTCTTGGTCTAGTCTTGGTCTAATCTTGGTCAATTCCTGGTTTGGTTTGGTCTAGTCTTGTCTAGTCTAGTCTAGTCTTGGTCTAGTCCTGGTCTAGTCCTAGTCAATTCCTGGTTTGGTTCTGGTCTAGTCTTGGTCTAGTCCTGGTCTAGTCCTAGTCAATTCCTGGTTTGGTTCTGGTCTAGTCTTGGTCTAGTCCTGGTTTAGTCCTGGTCTTGTCCTTGTGAAATCCTGGGCTTGTCATGGTCTTGCCCTTGTCTAGACTTGATCTACTACTGGTCTAGTCCTTGTTTTGTCCCGGACTAGTCCCGGTCTTGTCCCAGACTTGTCCTGGTCTTGTCCCAGACTTGTCCTGGTCTAGTCCCAGACTTGTCCTGGTCTAGTCCTGGTCTTGTCCTAGTTTACTTCATCTGAGTCCAATCCGAATTTTCTGATTTTTTGTGTTGGGAGAGTTTTAATCACACTGTGGAGCACCTGTCCTCCCCTGTCTCTGGAGCACCTGTCCTCCCCCGTCTCTGGAGCACCTGTCCTCCCCTGTCTCTGGAGCACCTGTCCTCCCCTGTCTCTGAGCACCTGTCCTCCCCGTCTCTGGAGCACCTGTCCTCCCCCGTCTCTGGCCCTGTCTCCCCTGTCTCTGGAGCACCTGTCCTCCCCTGTCTCTGGAGCACCTGTCCCCCTCCCCCTGTCCTCCCCCGTGGAGCACCTGTCCTCCCCCGTCTCTGGAGCACCTGTCCTCCCCGTCTCTGGAGCACCTGTCCTCCCCCGTCTCTGGAGCACCTGTCCTCCCCTGTCTCTGGAGCACCTGTCCTCCCCTGTCTCTGGAGCACCTGTCCTCCCCTGTCTCTGGAGCACCTGTCCTCCCCTGTCTCTGGATCTGGAGCACCTGTCCTCCCCTGTCTCTGGACAGCACCCTCCCCGTCTCTGTCCTCTGTCCTCCCCTGTCTCTGGATCTGGAGCACCTGTCCTCCCCCGTCTCTGGAGCACCTGTCCTCCCCCGTCTCTGGAGCACCTGTCCTCACCTGCCGTTGAGCTGGATGCGGTCAGCGAGCTTGGACAGCTGGTCCGGGAGCCTCCTCTGCTTGATGACTCCCTCCGGGCTGACGGACACTTCACACAGGGAGTAGGTCTCTGCGGCGGCGGGGAGACCGAACTCGTTGACGGTGTGCGCCACCACGTCTTTGGCCGTGGTGTCTTTGCTCAGGATGATGTAGCAGCTCTGTTGGTCGGCTTTGAACACACGGATCACCTGGTCTGGGATGTCTGAGGAGCAGAGGAGACGGGACTTTAGACTCAAGATTTTTTTTTGTCATTATCACAGAAAAACAATTAATTTACGTTTAACACTGAATAGTTTTGACGTGTCAGTGTAAGTTCAGCTGATACCAAACCATGAGGTGAGTGGAAAGAGTTCACGTTTCAGATTTCGCCCTAAAAGTCTGATCAATTCTACACATGTCGGTGCTGTAAATGGAAAAATTTTGAAATTTTGTCAGTGAAAAAGAGCGGGAACCCTGTTATTACCAACCAACTCAAACCAGGGATGTCCCAGTTTTTTTTATTTTGAAAATCTGGTCACTTTAAACCAGGGGTGTTCACACTTTTTCAGCCTGCGAGCTGCTTACAAAATGACCAAGTCAAAATGATCTACCTAATACAAAGTCAAGCAAACTGCACTGAAAACACTCTGTGCCTCTTTTTTTGGACCCTCACCCCACAGTTTGAGAACCTCTTCTTTAAGAGAGAACTTCCTCTGGCACTTTACACAAAACTGTGAAAAAAGTGAAGGAAGATTTTTAAACCTGTTTTTTAAAGTTCCAAACTGGAGTTTCATTCTTTTCTGGTTTTGCAGTGATATTTTCCAGCCTCTGCACGTTTACCAAACCAAACGCACATCGTGACAAACACAGATGCATTTGTCACTTTTGTTAGACAAACTTCAGCCAAATGTGGCAGTAGGTCTGTTCTGTAGATCCGCTCTATGCTGTAGACCTGCTTTGTGCCAACACTGGAACACAAATTTAGACTGGTTTTTGCTTCACGTTTGGTCTTGCTCTTCTAATCAGCCGCACTGTGGGAGGGGCTTGTGTTGGCTGTACGCAGGAAGGAGCGAGAGCGTGAAAAGGCGAGGGGCGGCGTGCTGACGTGAGGCAGGTGGACAGGTAGGATGTTTAGGAAGTTGAACCTGCCCTGTGATGCACGCTGGTACACGAGGGCACACGCTGTCGCAGACGAGCCGTGCATAGGGAGCGTGTGTGTTTGTGATGCGCCGTAGAGTCTCCGCGGGTTTCAAATGAGCGCACAGGCTGCACTGAGACGCCCCACACGCTCCTGCACCCGCTACAAGTTTATTACCAACAGCAGCGGCCGGAATGAAATATGATCACACTTGTTGAGTGTCAGACCTCGAGTGAGAGACAAGACCGAGTCCAAACACGATCGAGTCCGAGACGAGACACGGCGATCTACCCACACGACCTTGGCGATCGACTGGTAGATCGAGATCGACGTATTGAGCACCACTTCTTTACAGTTCATGTTACTGTATCAACATTTCCTGGTGGTGTGATTCTAACTGGAGGCATGCTCTGTCTAAGGCTTTATTAAAGTTTAATCTGAGCTTAATTTGAACCCATCTGATCAGAAAGTCGTGTTCAGTCATATGTAAGGTGACCAAATTTTCAAAAAAAAAAAAACAAAAAACTGGGGCATCCCTGTTTTGGGTTGATAATAACAAAATTGTGAAAGAGTGCGTAATTAAGGAAAATTCTTCTGCACTTGGCACTAATGTGAGTCAGTGTAGTCACATTTTCTTTGTGTTTTGATCATTTTTAAGTAAAAATGACGTTTGCCTCTCTTTACTGCGGACAGGGACCAAATCAGTCAAAAATAGCGAGTCCGGGGACATTTCTTGTATAAAATTGGGACAAATCAGTGGTTTTGTATAAATCTGCTGGGACGGGGACACGGGGCTTAAACCTGGAATTGTAAATAGAGACGTCTGGTCAGCCTGGTCATATGAAAGTGGACAAAGGTTTTACATTAAGGGAGCTCAAGTATAATACATACAGAAGCCTGACCTGGATTTAGACCTGGATTTAGACCTGGTTTAGTCCTGGTTTAAAAAAAAAAAAAAAAAAAAAAAAAAAGAGAGAGATATAGCCCCAAATGTGAAAACAGGAAAATACTGCCGTGTAATCCATTTATTTCAACAAAGTAACTGTAATCCAATTACCACTCACTGAAACAGTAACTGTAACCGAATACAGTTACTCATAATTTGTACTCTGATTACGTAACTCCGATACATGTAATCTGTTACTCCCCGACAGTGTGTACAGATAAACCTTCTGTACAATCATATGAAACCATCAAATCAGCAGAGCAAACAGCAGATCCAGACTGTTTTATGACTGTTTTATGACTTATGATGTGTTTAATAATGGATGTGACTGCTCCCCCTGAGTGAGACACTGCATTAGCACATCTGGGAGCGCAGGGGCCCATTAGACAAGCACGCCGACACACACACACACACACACACACACACACACACACACACACACACACGCATACACACACACCCCCCAACATGCTAACTCATACAATAGGCTTCCATTATTTGTGAGGACGACATATCACGGTTTCATTCCTTGGAGACTGATTCTATCTTTAACCATAATAACTACTTAAGAACCTAGATCAGTGGTGCTCAATACGTCGGTCACGATCTACCAGTCGATCGCCAAGGTCGTGTGGGTAGATCGCCGTGTCTCGTCTCGGACTCGATCGTTTGGACTCGGTCTTGTCTCTCACTCGAGGTCTGACACTCAACAAGTGTGATCATATTTCATTCCGGCCGCTGCTGTTGGTAATAAACTTGTAGCGGGTGCAGGAGCGTGTGGGGCGTCTCAGTGCAGCCTGTGCGCTCATTTGAAACCCGCGGAGACTCTACGGCGCATCACAAACACACACGCTCCCTATGCACGGCTCGTCTGCGACAGCGTGTGCCCTCGTGTACCAGCGTGCATCACAGGGCAGGTTCAACTTCCTAAACATCCTACCTGTCCATCTGCCTCACGTCAGCACGCCGCCCCTCGCCTTTTCACGCTCTCGCTCCTTCCTGCGTACAGCCAACACAAGCCCCTCCCACAGTGCGGCTGATTAGAAGAACAAGACCAAACGTGAAGCAAAAACCAGTCTAAATTTGTGTTCCAGTGTTGGCACAAAGCAGGTCTACAGCATAGAGCGTGGATCTACAGAACAGACCTACTGCCACATTTGGCTGAAGTTTGTCTAACAAAAGTGACAAATGCATCTGTGTTTGTCACGATGTGCGTTTGGTTTGGTAAACGTGCAGAGGCTGGTAAATATCACTGCAAAACCAGAAAAGAATGAAACTCCAGTTTGGAACTTTAAAAAACAGGTTTAAAAATCTTCCTTCACTTTTTTCACAGTTTTGTGTAAAGTGCCAGAGGAAGTTCTCTTAAAGAAGAGGTTCTCAAACTGTGGGGGAGGGTCCAAAAAAGGGGCACAGAGTGTTTCAGTGCAGTTTGTTTGGCTTTGTATTAGGTAGATCATTATGACTTGGTCATTTTGTAAAGCGTCTTTGTGACATATGTCTGTGAAAAGCACTAAATAAATAAAGACTTACTTTATTGTGGGTAATAAAGGAAATGCTCCACTGTGTTTTTAAACTCCATACACCTTTATAAGAATCCTTTTGATCATTTCAGTTCTGGAATTACCCAGCGTTTTTTTTTAGCAGATATTCAAGTCTTTGTATGGACAATCGCAACTATACAAAAGGTAACACAACATTTTCAAAAACAAAAGCGACAACTTCAGGTTACTGTGGTGTATTTTAGAGTAAATCAATTGAGAATAAACAAGCTGTTAACCTTTAAATTACCACTACATAACATCAGAAGGTGGAACAGAGCATTTAGAGCTTAGGAGAGCTTTAGACACAATAATAATAAAGGATTAGTCAGACATGTGTCAGTGGAACAAAACAAAAGGTCACATGAGTCAGCTTTTGGTCATATACGCCCTTCTTTAACCTATATATGAACTTTAAACCGTGTTGTTGATCTCGGGGACTTAATTTTAAGATTTCAGATGAGTGTTGAATAAAAAATAGGATAACAAGACGTCCCAATTTACTCGGGACAGTCCCAGTTTTGAGCCTGTGTCCCCTGTCCCAGCAGATTTATCCAAAACCAGTGATTTGTCCCAGTTTTATACAAGAAACGTCCCAGGTCTCCCTATTTTTAACAAATCTGATCCCTGCAAACAGTAAAGAGAGACATACATTGACATTTGTTTATGAAAATTACAGAAAAGCTGTTTAAAAATGACCAAAACACAAAGAAAATTTAATGATATTGACTCATGTTAGTCCTGAGTAAGTCACGAATGGGCCGAGTGCAGAACAATTCTACTTAATTACACACTTTGTTCACAATTTAATTATGAGAAACTGCCCCAAACTGAGTGTCCCAGTTTTTTGATTTTAAAATTTTGATCACCCTAAAAAAAAAAACATTATAGATACAAACTACTGCTACATTTATTTACATTTATTTGTTTACATTTATTTGTTAACTTTTTTACTTATTTTACTTTATTTTACTTATTTTATTTATTTTTATTTTATTTATTTATTTACATTTATTTGTTTACATTTTTAAATTTACTTTTACTTATTTTACTTTGTATATTTTATTTTACTTTTTTAAAACGTATTTTACTTTATTTTACTTATTTTATTGTATTTATTTATTTATATTTAGTTGTTTACATTTATTTTTACAATTTTTTATTTATTTTTTTTTACTTATTTTACTTTTAATTTTTTTTGTTTACTTTTTTACTTATTTTATTATATTTATTTACTTTACATTTATTTGTTTACTTTTTATTTTACTTTTTTAAAACTTATTTTTTTATTATTTTATTTATATTACTTTATTTTACTTATTTTAATTATTTATTTTATTTATTTATTTACATTTATTTATTTTACATTTATTTATTTACATTTTTTATTAAAAAATTTTTTTTAACTTATTTTACTTTATTTTACTTATTTTATTTTATTTATTTATTTACATTTATTTATTTACTTTTTTACTTTATTTTACTTATTTTATTTATTTATTTACATTTATTTGTTTACATTTATTTATTTACATTTTTTTATTTACTTTTTTTGTAACTTATTTTACTTTTTATTTTACTTTTATTTTTTATTTTTTATT